TCAGCCTCGCCCGCCACAGCCTCTTCCTCAGCCTCGCCCCGCACAGCCTCTTCCTCAGCTTCGCCCCGCACAGCCTCCTCTTCAGCCTCGCCCCCACAGCCCTCCTCCTCAGCCTCGCCCCGCACAGCCTCCTCCTCAGCCTCGCCCCGCACAGCCTCCTCCTCAGCCTCGCCCCGCACAGCCTCCTCCTCAGCACCTCAGCCCGCCGCCAAAGCCTCCTCCTCAGCCTCGCCCCGCACAGCCTCTTCCTCAGCCTCGCCCCGCCCAGCCACAGCCTCTTCCTCAGCCTCGCCTCCGCACAGCCTCTTCCAGCCTCACAGCTCTTCCTCAGCCTCGCCCCGCGCNTCCCTCGCCTCCGCAACAGCCCTCCCTCCTCAGCCTCTGCACGCACAGCCTCCTATTCTCAGACCTCGGATCCGTCACAGCTCTCCTCCTAGGCCTTGCCCGCACAGCCTCTTCCTTCAGCCTCCGCCCCGCACAGCGCGTCCTCACCTGGGCAGCCTCGCCCCGCACAGCGGCCTCCTCCTGCAGCACCTCGCCCGCAACAGCCCTCCCCCTCATGCCTCGCCCCGCAGGCAGCCTCCTTCTCAAGCCTGCGCCCGCATTCCAACGGTAGAGTTTGGTGCCTCTGCCCCGCACAGCCTCCTCCTCAGACTCGCCCCGCACAAGCCTCCTCCTCAGCCTCGCCCCGCAGCATCCTACTCTGTTCAGCTCCTTATACACAAATCACTTCCCGCCTATCGCCTCGACCATAGCCTCCTCTCAGCCTCGCCCGCACAGCCTCCTCAGCCTCGCCCCGCACAGCCTCCTCCTCAGCCTCGCCCCGCACAGCCTCCTCCTCAGCCTCGCCCCGCACAGCCTCCTCCTCAGCCTCGCCCCGCACAGCCTGTCCTCTCTCAGCCCTCGGCCAGCCTCCTCCTCAGTCCTCGCCCCCACAGCCTTCCTCAGCCTCGCCCCGCACAGCCTCCTCTCATCCTCGCCCCCACAGCCCTCCTCTTCGCCTCCGCCCTCGCCCCGCCCCGCAGCCTCCTCTTCAATCCTCCCGCACAGCCTCCTCCTCAGCCTCGCCCCGCACAGTCCTCCTCCTAGCGCCTTCGCCCCCGCCACAAGCCTCTTCCTTCAACCTCGCCACGCACAGCCTCCTCCTCAGCTCGCCACGCACAGCCTCCTCCTCGCCTCGCCCCGCACAGCCTCCTCCTAGGCCTCGCCCCGCACAGCCTCTTCCTCAGCCTCGCCCCGCACAGCCTCCTCCTCAGCCTCGCCCCGCACAGCCTCCTCTTCAGCCCCACATCCCTTCAGCCTCCCCGCACAGCCTTCCGCCCGCACAGCCCTCCCTCTTCAGCCTCCTCCTCAGCCTTCGCCCGCACAAGCCTCGCCCCGTACACAGCCTCCTCCTAGGCCTCAAGCCCCGCAAACAGCCTGCTCCTCAGCCTCGCCGAGCCGCACAGCCTCCTCCATCAGCCTCGCCCCGCCCAGCCTCCCTCCTCAGCCTCGCCCGCCAGCAGCTCCTCCTCAGCCTGCCCCGACGACAAAAGCCTGCCTCCATACAGCAACCTCGCCCGAACGCAAACAGCCTCCTCCGTCAGCCCCGCCCCGCAAACAGCCCTCTTCCTCAGCCGTGCGCCGGACCAGCAACAGCCTCCTCACCTCAGCCTCGCCCCGGACAAAGCCTCCTCCTCAAAAGCCTCGCCACCCAAACAGCCTTCCTCCTCAGCCTCGCCCAGCACAGCTCGCACTCCTCGCCTCGCACCCGCACGAAGCCTCGCATCGGCTCAAGAGACATCTGCCCCCGCACAAGGCCCACCCCCCTTCCCACCCCCTCCCCCACACCCCTACCATAACAGCCTTCACCCCGCAGCAGCACTCCTCCTACACTCAGTCCCGCACAGCCTCTCTCCTACAGCCTCGCCCCGCCACAGCCTCACTCCTGCAGCCTTCGCCCCGCACAAAAGGGCTAACTCCTAGCCTCAAGCACCCGCACAGCCTCAATCTATCAAGCCGATCGCCCCCGCACAGCCAGTCTCTCTCAGCCTCGCCCCGCACACCCATCTTCAGACCGTCGCCCGTCGCACAGCCTTTCTCACTCAGAACCATCGCCCGCACAGCCTCGCTCCTCAGACCTGCAGCCCCGCACAGCTCCTCTCAACCTCGCCCCGGCACAGACATCCTCCTCAACCTCGTCGCCGCACAAGCCTACCTCCCTCCAAGCCCTCGCCCCGCACAGCCTCATCTTCAGCCTCGCCCCGCAGCAGCCCCTCCCTCAGCCATCGCCCCGCACAGCCCCTCCTCAGGCCTCGCCCTCACAAAGCCTCTTCGTTACAGCCACGCCAGCCAGCCTCCTAACTCGCCCTCACGCCGCAGACACAGCACTCCAATCCTCAATCACAGCCACTCGAAAGCCCGAACCGAGCTACCACTCCGTGCAGCACTCGCACCCGCACGCCTCAATCTTCGGAAAGCCTCAGACCCGCACAGCGCATCAGTCACTCAGACCTACGCC